GCAGCCCTGTGTGCGCCGTATGGGGACACCGCGTTTTTACGGCCCCGTGCAGTCAGGGCTCACATTTGCCGAACAAACAGAGGTTCTGTCTTGGGTTTAATAGAGCTGGTCCTCCAGACAGCAGCAGAAAGTGCCAGTTCTGATGGAGAGAGACTAATGAGCCCTTCGAAATGGTTTGTACGGGAGCAGAGAAGTGAAAAAAAAAAAAAAACCCACCCCAAATGCACTCGCTGCCAAGGAAAATACGCTTACCTAGTAAAGCATGAGTAATAAGTGGCACTTTTTACAGTGCAAAGATATAACTTTTCATGAAAACACCAAATAAGGCTCCGTGCAAAAGGTGGATGGCCGTTTTATGGAGGTTTTTTCTCTTTTTTTCCCCCCGTTTTGCTGGTGCCTGTTTACGGGTTCCCACCGCCCCCGGCACAGCCCGGCTCCTTCCCTGTGCGACAAAATGAGGAGGGAATGGAAAAACAGGAGCCGCCGTGCTCTGAGACTTTCTATTTTTAACAGGTTAAAAATAGCCACTTCTCAGCCACCAGCCCAGGAATTGCTGGGGTGAAGCTGTGCAGCGGGATGTTGGGAGTAAACAAGTGTCAGGACAGCTTATGGAGATGGGACATCGTGGGCCACCGGGTGCTGTGGATGTGGCCACTGGGACCTCCACCAAAGGGCTGCAGGGTTCAGTGCCAGTGGGGTGCTCAGCACTGATTGGGATGCTCAGCTCTCAGGAAGGATGCCCAGCTGTGAAGTGGGATGCTCAGCACCTAACTGTGGTGCTCTATCCCCAGGGAAGATGCTCAGCATCAAGGTGGGATGGTCAACATTCAAGCAAGGTGCTGAGCACTGAGGCTGGGGGATGCTGAGATCCAAGAGAGGATGCTCAGCCTCAAGGTGGGATGGTGACCATCAGGTGGGATGCTCAGTATCAAGGTGGGTGCTCAGCCCCAAGGGAAAGTGCTCAGCATCAAGGTGGGATGGTCAACATCCAAGCAAGGTGCTAAGCACTGAGGCTAGGGGATGCTCAGCACCCAAGGGGATGCTGAGATCCAAGAGAGGATGCTCAGCACCTAAGTGAGTGTTTTATCCCAAGGGAAGAAGTTCAGAATCAAGGTGGGATGCTCAGCATCTAGACAAGGTGATGAGCACTGGGGCTGGACATGCTCATCACTTAAGTGGTGATTGGCCTCAAGAGTGGATACTCAGGCTCAAGGTGGGATGGTCACCATAAGGTGGGATGCTCAGCACCTAAGGAGATGCTCTATCCCAAAGGAAGTTCAGAATCAAGATGGGATGCTCAATGTCCAAGCAAGGCACTGAGCACTATGGCTAGGGATGCTCAGCATCAAGGTGGGATGCTCAGCACCTAAATGGTTGCTTGGCCCCAAGGAAGAATGCTCAGCATCAAGGTGGGATGGTCAATGTCCAAGCAAGGAGCTGAGCACTAAGGCTGAGGGATGCTCAGCCCTTACGGAGGGTGCTCAGCACTGCAGTGGGATGATCAGAACCCAGAAGGGAGTGCTCAGCATTGAGACTGCGAGATGCCCAGCACCCAAGGGGCCGCCCAGTGTCAAGCTGGGATGTTCAGCCTTGCGGGTTGCAGGGCTAATGCTCTGAACCCAAAGGGATGCTCTGCATCAAGGAAACAGGCTCAGCACTGTGGGGGGATACTCAGCCCTGAGGGACCCTGGGCACTCAGCACCAGCACTGGGGGACAGTCAAGATTCCCTTATGCAAGAGATGCCCCAAAACAGGGCCTGCTTTGACGTGACATCCAGCTCCAGAATTAGAACTGTGGCTCTGGGTTCACATGGATCAGTTTTGGGTTTGAGACTTCCCCAACACCTCTTGGATGCTGTTGGCAAAGGGGCAGTTTGGAGGTTACCAAAGACCACTGAGTCTTAATGTTCCAGTTCCATCACTCCATGACCCAAAGCATTTCTCTGGCTCAGAGAGCCCCCAGAACATCTCCCTGCCACAGGGGATGGATGGACTTGGCAGCTAGATGGTATGCACACGGGCAGAATGTCCCACAACATTCCTAAAACAACCAAAGAGAGGAGAGAGGTGTTGGCATCCATCACAGCAGGTGAGACTCTGCAGGATGACATGCTGCAAAGCCTCCGTGGGACGTGGGAGCCAGGAAGGATGCTCTAAGTGCTTAAAGCATAGTACAAAGGATGCAGATGTCCTCAAGCCCTTTCCCTTCAGCTTGAAAAACAGAAAAAAGGGGAAAGCTAGCAGCACTGCATGGTCCAGCAGCAAGGGACCTTCCCCAGGCAAGGTGCTGACGCATGGCCCGGCGCTGGCACACGTCTGCTCTCCCCTCCACCACTGCTCAGCTCCTCCAGGCAGAGTTTTGCTTCCTTTTAAGGCCCTGTGCTCCCTGCTCTGGAGCTGCGGCCGTGCTGGGAGAACAAAACAAGTCGGCGGTGCAGCGCTGCTCGCCTTCGCCCTGATGGTTATGGGCTGTGCCCTCGGCTCCCATTTTTCCTGCAGCATGCAGTGTTTAACCAGATAAAGGGCAGCCAGGTTTTCCAAGCAGGCTCTGCCTCCTTGCAGCACAGGAAGCTTTAAATCAGCATCCCAGCCCCTTTCGCAAACAAGATAAGGAATTCTCATCCTCAGAAGCAGTGTTTTGAGGCAGGGCACGTGCAGCTGCTGGTTCAACACCACCTTGGCCAAGAGAAGCTTGGGGTACCAATGGTTTTATGTCTGACATTGGATAGTACAATGTTCCCAGCTTCTTTCCCCACCAGTAAAACAAGGACGAAGCTCTCTCTGCCTTAACATCCCACTAAAAATCATTAAAAACATGCTACTTAGCAGATGACATTATCAAGCACCTCCCTGTGCCCATAAAGGCTCTGTCCTCCTGAGGGTGCAGAAATGGTTGGAAGGCAGATGCAGAGATTTCCTCTCTTCTCCCCTTGCACCTCCATTGCAGGGAGCTGTGCAGGTGACAGCAGCCCACAGAGCTGGAGGCAGATGTAAAAATTCATCTCATTAGATAAAAACCTATCTAGGAGGAAAGGGACTAAGTTGTATCATGAGCAAGGACTCCTACAGCCAGACCCCTGCATGCACAGATAGAGAATCCTCCTTTAACCTTTAACCCATTCCCCTTGCTTGCTCCTGCACTCCATGCAGCATGCAGGAACGCTTCAGCCTCGCCCAAGGGGCATCCAGGGACCCGAGGCCCCCGTGGGGCTGGCAGAGCTGTGCAGTGCAGGAGGGGGAACATGAGATCATGATTTTGGAAGCTTGAAGTTCGCCTATGTCCTGCTGCAGACATTAAGTCATTTTCCTGAGGAAGTGGTGTATGACGTTGAGCTGGTTATATGGGATTGGGGTGGAGCAGCGAGCTCCAGCGAGAGGACCACTGTTCTGGTACAGAGCAGGTGAGGTGCGAGCACACCACATCCCTGCAGAATTTGTCATGGAAATAAGACCTGAGGAGACAGCCCAGGGGTCTGAGTTCAATGCAGACCTCAGCAGCTCGAGGTGTTTTCCACCTGGGTGACCTACATTGATGAGTTTATTGGATGGAAGAACTCTTCACCTACTGCATGTAGGCTCCTACGTGTGGCCAAGCAACTTCTGAAAATCAGGATGGAGCAAATCTTTTAATGAATAAAAAGACAAGAAAAATCTGTACTTAACGTTTTCTTACTTATTACTTTTCAAAATATACCCCTGACTCCACCAAGAAAAGCAACACACTAAGTGGTGGCCTCCATACCAAACGAGGTTCTTCATTACTTCTCCCCATGGATCTCTGCTGCACACATCACTAAAACATACCTTGAAAGCATCCCAGCTCCTCCCGCTGTGCAGTTGGCTCTGGTTGGGTGCTGGTGCCAGTTCTGCCTGCCCTCCTGCCTCCTACCCTTATTTTTCCTGTAAGCTTCCAGTTCAGAGAGTCCAGAGCTGAATGAGAAGGATGCTGGAGTGTGAGGTTACCCTCAATCTCCCACTTCTAGTGATCCACCTGTCCAGCAGCCAAACCCATCCAGCTGGGATCACCATGGGCACAAGGGCTGTTTAAGGAGATCCTCTCCCATCTGCTGAGGGTCCCAGCTGCTTGGGGTGATCCAACTGTAACCGAACCAACTGTTGATCACTATTAGGTGTGCATTCCCATTTTGTGAGCCACCAGCTTGATCACTCAGCCAGAATGATTGCCATTACAATCAATGAGTTGGTCCTCTTGCTATCCAGAGGTCAGAATACTTTCAGCTGTCTGCCTAAAGACATCTCCCCCTTGGTTTACACTCTTTAGACCCCTGTGCCACCACAAACACTCTGTATACCACTATGTACATAATGGCAATATAAACACCAGCCTAACAACACCCAGAAACAACCACTGACCACATCAGTTGCCCACCTGAGACCTCACCAGCAAAGTTTCAGAAATGCTGAGCACCCATCCTCTGGAAAACCTCTTTTATGATATAAATCTTAGCACCAAATGACAGAAAGCATCCAAATGGAGGAGTTATTTCTAATCAACGGGTCTGCAGTGCTTTATTCACCTCCAATAACTGGTTTCTCAGAACCATTTGCTGCAACACTTCCTCCAGAGGCAGCTGACGAGATGTCCTAGAAAACAACTCAATGGTGTCTGGTTTGTGCCTGTAAAACATTTCAGCAGCAAACCAGGCCCAACAAAAACACAAAGCTGCGTGCAGTTCCTCACAGACAAGGACACCTGACCTTGGTCTACCAGGAGAGCCCTCTGAACACCCTCTCCCCTTTGACTCGTTAACTTTCAAGGTTACAGATACCGCTGCTTTCCCAATAAGAGCACAGCCTTCCCCCAATTCCACCAGAGCCAATTGTGTGGGAAGCCTTTAAGATGTTTTTGCAGAGACAGAGCACCACCAGTGCCCTGCTCTATAATTAGGCTTCTGAGCAATTTACAGAGGATATGCTCAAGGAAGAAAAGGGTAAGAGAATTTTATATGCGCTGCTTTGTCCAAAAGAAGGTTACGAAAGGCAGAGCAAAAACTATTTACCAGCCTCAGGGGGAAAATTAAGTTTGTTTCATTCAGTTCAAGCTGAAGCAGATGTTCAATATCTGTGTGTGTGCCTGAAGACCTGCTACATTGCAGCTTCTCACCAACGTGAACGTTTGGATCAATGTGGAGAGCTGAAGGTGTAAAAACAGGGGAGGAAAAAACAAAAGGGGAAAAAAAAAAAAGATGATGCCAGAACTTAACTCCCAGTGGAGTCCATCTACCACTTGTGGAATGGGCCTTTAACACCAAGCTGCTAAAAGGCCATCTTAAAAAAAAAATAAAATAAAATGTCATGTAAATAGATGAACAGTCTTTCAGGAGTTCAGTCCAGACGTTGCATCCAGGTGGTGATTTTCACACAGCTTAATAGTGAAGACTGAAGTTATTGCAGTAACAGATAAAACTTCTTCCCAATACAAAATGTAGTCCAAAGGGCTTACTTACACAGTAAGCAAGATATCTTACGTAATGGAAGATTGCATGTTGTCCTCCTCCTGTGCAGCAGCTTTCAGAGAGCCACGCAAAGAGAACAACACTCTCAAGCTGCCAAAGGGAGCGGGGGAAAGAGTCAGTTCATTTCTTCTGAAAGAAGCCCATGATGGAGACCTGTTTGTTGGCTCTGCTGGTGGTGGCTGCCCCCTTCTTCTGGTTCTTCCTCTCTTCCTTTGGTTCTTTCTTCACAGGCAGTGCAGGCTGCTTGGGGGCAGCTGGTGGCTTGGTCTTGGTGAAGTCATCCTCACTGTCTGTACAGGATTCGCTCTCGTAAACCTTCTCAGTCACTAGTTGAGAGAGAAGAACAACAGATGGTGCTGGTTAAACACGTGTGTTGAAGAGCAGCAACGTCCCCCCCCTGCAGCCTTCCCATTGCACTTCTGGAAACGAGCACTGTGGTTCAAGGAGCACATGCCAGGTATGGGAATGAAGTCCAACCCTCAAGGTTAAATGGTACATTCAGATGACCAGGCTGGTTCTGTATACACTGAGTTAAACTGCCTCCACAGAGTCAAACTGACCTCCTTCTTTCCTAAGCAGCAGATAGTAGATGGATGAGCTGGGAGCTTGAACACCATCCAGCTCTTTCAAAATGAGCTGACGTCCCCAGGGATGTTCTCTTGCAGGCCATATGCACACCTTAAACACCAGCAGCCTCACACTGGGAAGGGCTCCTGGGAGGACAGCTCCTGTTCCAAACCTATTCAAGCATCACCCTCTTCAAGATTCAACGGCCACTAGCGTGCATCAGATGGCCAAGGAAAAGCAAAGCCAACACACTGAGAAGAGGGGCACAGAACTCCATTGGCAGCATCCTCAACGCAAGAGGGCAAACAGGGCAAAAAAATAAAGAAATGCCTTAAAAAGACCACAAAACGAAACCTATCACCAAAATCAAGGACTATTACTGAATGGGATTGCTGGCTTGTTGCAGTCAGCATCCCACGATGGAAAGCTAAGGGATATAAAGCAGCACTCACTGAAATGAAACCGAGTCCACTGCACCGACAAAAGCCATCATTAGATACTAGTAAATGTTGTTGTATCAGCCTTCCCAGCAGTGCTCTGGTATTCTTCTAGTAAACCATTTCTCTTTAGCAACTGTATTCTTTTAAACACACGTCCTAACTACTATTCTTCTGGGAAATTAGCTTCCTGTTGTGTTAATGCATCAAACCACATAAGGATTTCTACGTAACCGGCCTGCAAAGAGGAACGGTATGAAATCCTGCTCTGCAGAGAGCAGATGCTCAGACAGGGACCATAAATCCACGCTGACTTCCTGCAGAGGGAACTGACCTCGGAGGGAGCAGTGTTAGCAGATTGCTGGCCAGTTACTGAGCTTGAAAGACTTACAGCACTGTCACCCTGGCGATAATTGTTGGTAACAAAGCACGTGCTTAATCCCCTCCAATTACGAAATAACAGTTTACGTTGTTTCTTCTAGTGAGATTGCAAATGAATAAGAACTCTGTGCTTGTGGCAGGCCATACCAATGGATTGTTGATGCTCAGCTCAGCCAGATGTGCTGCATCACCATAACTCAAGTTATGCGTGCGAGCTTTAACTTAAACCAGTGCCATACAACCAATTTGCCTACAATGGAGACATATTTATTCCAATACTGAAATCCATGTGTGTTCTTTAAGCTTTAGAAAGTGTGGGGTAGAGATGCATTAGCTTAAACCTTAGCAATTCCCCTTTGCTATAGGCTAAGAGCATGCACTTGGCTGCGTTCCTGTTGATGCATGGTAACATGCCTTAAGCCCAGCTCCACAGACACTTGCTCAATTTCCCTCAGGGCTAATCTCTAAATTAGTTTTGCTTTTTGACACCAATTCCCCACTATTGCAGCTATTGTGAAAATGGCCACTTCAAAGCGTGGAGAAACAGAAAGGACAGCTTAACTCCAACATTAGGATTTAATGTCTCTATACCACTGTCCTTGTGGACATCAAGGAGGAAAAAGAAAAGCTGTCTTTCAAAGAATACCAACAACTTACATCAGCTTGGGAGAACAGCGGGTTATTTAGCCCTCAGATGGTTAGTTCTGTGCAAGGAAAAGGTGGGTAAGGAGTGGGGTAAGCTGGACAACAACCAGACTGCAAGTTCTGTGCAATGAACTGGATGGCTCTCAGTATGGGGAAAAGCACCTCCTTCCTCACCACTCTCAGTATCCTGGCTCCATCCCTCCTGCCTTCCCAGGTGCACTGCCTCCCAAAAGCACAACAGTGGCTTGTAATTCCCTTTCCATACAATGGCTGTGGATAGGAACCATAAATCCCCAAGTCTGAGTTTCACAAGAGACTACAAAACCTCTTGGGAGTGGGGAGAAGAGAAAGTGGGCAAACTTCCCAACCCTGGTACATTTGGAAAAGGCTGAAGAGAAAGAAGCACTCTTTGCTGGAAGCTGAACCCAGAGCACTCATTAGCGTGAGCTCTGGATGCAGATTTCTTGAACTGGAGTCCCCTGCTCATGCTTTTTTGATCCATTTTCCTTCCAAGCATTTTAATGATTCTATCTGGGATGGGAGCACAAAAACACCCTATAACACAACAAGCCAAATCAGTCAGCAACACCTGTGCAAGTCCAATACCTTGACAAAAATCCAGGGCTTGAAATTTCAGTTACCAGCACAGCCAGTTGTTGAGTGCCAGCCTTGTTTCTTTAAAGGAGATACACAAATCCAATAGGAAACATAAGACACAACCACACAGATAGGTGCAAACACGCAGGTTGACTCGTGTGCATGCAGCTCTAAATCTGGGCCAAGCAAGGCTGTATCTGTGCACAAAAACAATCCTGTGCAACAGCCACAGGTCTTCTAGAACTGCCTGAGCTCCCTTGACATCTATTAAGATGAAGAATGCCAGGCACATCATATGGTTTAGCTGACAACAACACTAAAAAAAAAAAAAAAAAGAAAACCACCACATTTTGCCCTCTTAAAGTTTTAAAACTCTGAAGGAAAAAAAGGATTCTGAACTTCTGCAGCTCTGCTTCAGTGCCAGGATACAGAGAAGGAGCACAGTGGTGTTACACAACTTTCTCCAGGTCACAGGAGGAAGCAGTGTGCAGTTAGACCAATTTGAAGCTTCTGGCTTTCAACAACAACTCTGAAACCTCCACCAGGCCAGGCCTTCACAGAAAGGGCAGCTACCACAATCTGGGAGCATGAGGTGGAAAGCAGAATAACAAAGTGATGTTGTGATATTGTGAACCTCTTCCTAAGCCCACGAGAGGCTGACCCTAAAAATCTTCAGTACGACTGCAATAAAAGTTGGAACCACAGAAGTGTGGGAGACAGCCATTCTTACCCATGCAACCTTCCTCTTCATCAACAAACATCTTGGATTTCAGCACACGCTTCCGTTTCCTCTTCTTTCCCCCAGCTGAAGCCTGAAGGACATCACAAGATTGTGAGACATCAAGTTAAAGCCCTATGCATGACCCCAGGGCACAAAAGCATCAGCTCTCTAACCAAACTGATAGAGAATGTTTTGTGAATTCCCCTCCCTTCTCAGGATAGCCCAGTCTAAGTTTTGCTAATGACGGTTCTCCCCATCCCACCAGGATGAATTTCAGAGAAACCAAACTACTGAAATGAGACAGCAGCTTCTTCTGCCTGCCAGCACAAGGGGCACATTCCTCTTGCGAGGGGCACACGACATTCTGAAATGTATTTAGCTCTGTGTGGGGTTGTTTCATCATACCTCTGAATAACGAGGAAATAACAAGGTGTGCATGACACCAGGATGCATGCTGTGACGAACAGCTGTGCTTTCAGTAAAGCTACACGTGTTTCTTCAGCTCAGGGGTTGACTTTGTGCCAGCTAGAGCCCACCTCTCTTACGCAGCAGCGATACAAACTTGAACACTGAGGTTCTCTAGTTTCATTCTGGCCCTGCCTTGACTCCAGAGGCCAAGATTTAGAGGGGAGAGCGTAAAATGTGAGCAACAATTCATTAGGAGGATAAAAGGGAAGAAAACAGTGCTATATCAGCAGGAAAAAAAAAAAGAGTTTAAGTAAAGCTGTGCTCTGGATAATGAATAAAGCGGTGAACATGACGGATTCTTTCAAGGTGGATCATGTGGCAGATGAACAGGACCATCCCCTTGGCATCTGAAAAGTGGCTGAGCAATCCCCATTGTGTCAAATGAAAGCAGAAGTTAATCACTATGATGTGCTCTTACCTCAGCTGATGCTGGCTCCAGCTCAGCCTTCAGAGCAGGTACCAGAGGTGGTGGAGATGGAACTTTCTCTTCCTCGATAGTAGGAGATGCTGGGACATCTGACAAAAAGAATACACGAACACCTTAGCAACAGTCAGGCCTAATGTCCCTTTGCCTCTACCACTGACTCATGTCATGTCATCTAATTTAACTCCGAGTAATTGCTTACAACTTGAATTCAACTTGAGGTTTACAACTTCTAGCTTAGATCTGAAGACAACACATCCCAAGAAGCCATTCCCAACCCAACAGCTCACCCTGCACCAAGGTGCTGCACGCTGGAGCTCCTGAAGAAAACACAGCCAAGGATGGGACAGGATGGGAAAAGCATGTCTGGTATTTTTGGAAAGCCATGCTCAGCCTCACTGAGTGAAGCTTGGAAAACCAACATAAATTAGAATGTTTCAGGCATGTATTTCACCTGTTCAGTAAGAAAAGGGACTAGAATCTGTTCAGGAATTAAGAGTCGGAGCTAAGACTACATATTCTCAAATCACTGCATGACTTCTGTTTTTCTGCCTCTCCCTGAATGGTAAAACAGTGTAATTGCTTCAAAAATGGCATTTCAAATCCCAAATGATGACCATATTAGCTTGAAACTGCCTTCATAGAACCATAGAATGGCCTGGGTTGAAAAAGACCACAATACTCATCCAGTTCCAACCCCCTGCTGTGTGCAGGTCGCCAACCAGCAGCCCAGGCTGCCCAGAGCCACATCCAGCCTGGCCTTGAATGCCTGCAGGGATGGGGCATCCACAGCCTCCTTGGGCAACCTGTTCCAGTGCCTCACCACCCTCTGGCTGAAAAACTTCCTCCTCATATCCAACCTAAACCTCCCCTGTCTCAGTTTAAATCCCCCCTCTCAGTTTAATTCATGCAAGAATTAAACGTGATACTGCCCACCCCACAAGATTTTAAAGAACACCACAGGAAAAAAAAAACAAACCAAACAACAAATACAAAACCCAAACCACTCCAAAAAGCTAAGTCCGTTCTCCCATCTGTCACTGCGTTCATCTCTGTGCAGCAGATGGATGCAGTAACTGAGATGCTGGAATCCCTCCAACACTTGCACTGCCTCACATGGTCAGGGCCACCTCCCCAGCTTTCTATGGTGCAAAACCAACACTGGAGGGTCTCACAGCAACGTTAGACTGGGGTGAGACCAGCAGGGCATGCAAAGGTACGAGAAGGCTGAGGTCACTTCTATGGGGCTGGCAGAAGCACTGAGCTGCGACAGCTTAGCAAAATCAGGGCAAGGGGGGGGGGGACAGAAGCAGCACTGTGACTAATTGAAATGACTTCAACGAATCCTCTCCAAGTCCACCTACGAAATACTGCCATGCAAGCCCTCAACTGCGGGGGAGAGCAAAGAATGTGGGGCAAGAAACTCCTCATCTGACCTATTGCTTAACAATAACAAGGCTGCTGCTGGCTGCGAGGACAGAGTGCTGCTTGGCTTCTCCTCCCAGCCCTGCTGGCTGCAGTGCTGCCTTCACGCTGTCGTCGTAACACGAATTTTGGATCCGTAGCTGTCCCAAGTGATTAGGTCAGTGTGAAGAGTTACGACTGTGCCAGGCGTGCGGCCAGCTGACCTTCATAGGTTAAGAAGGGCTCAAGCGAAACGGTGGTTGGCTGCCAACGCTCAATAATAAATTACATTCTTCAAACGAGGACTCAGCCTCCTAAACTACTGCAGTAAGCGAGGCGCAGAAATGCAAACAGAGTGGGATAACATGACTCGGGATTTCACCTTGCTCCAAAGCACCGGGTCTGGCAACTGTGCTAAGATAAAACCAAACGAGGGACCTGCTTGGAGGTGCTAATTGCTGGGGGACCAGAGCAAGGACTCAAAATCTTCAATATTTCTTCCAGTCTCATGGCAACTGCAGGCTGAAAAGCCCACAGGTTGCACAGCACCAAACTCTGCAGGCTACCCGAGCTGGCTGCATCCACTGCAAAAATATTTGTAAGGAGTGTGTATGCTAGAAGGGCTGAAAAATCAGCCTGGTGAAAAGCTGTCAACCTCTGCTTGAGGGGTCTTTTTCGGGTCACCTCAACTGCTTTTGCTTGGGGGAAAATTTGGGTGATTCCCCAGCCTCCTCTGAATGACTTACCCCAGCTTTGGCAGGCAGAAAACACCTCCTTCCCACGGCAGTGCTTCAGACCACCATCGAGCTGTGGCTCTGTTGCTTTGTTATCCTCTTGCAGCCAGCAAAGCTCTCTGACATGTGATAACTCCTGAGTCAACCTCTTGCTGCTGCCCACAGTTTACTCACCAGCAACAGCTGCGTGAAATGGATACACGTTGGGCAACTGGATGTACCAAAGATGTAAATCCTGGCTTTGTTTGGTTTGCACTGACCCTGCCTGGAAAAACTGTGAGAAGCTTTAATGCTTCTGCTGCAGCTCTCTGAAACTGATAGAGTTTGTAGGTTACAGTGCCACTGAAATCACCCTCCAAAGTGGCTGTAAAACACTTGTCAACACTATGAAACTGCGCTGGTGTTGGTATAGCTGGAGCTGCCAAACCTCCTGTCCTCTGTGGACACACTTGTGTAGTTTATTCTGGCACTGGAAGCAAAACAACCTGCAGTGACTAAGGCACCCTCAAACCAATATAACTTTTAATGAAAAATTATTTTAAATGGAGATGATTGTGCCTCATGGCCCTCTCTGTATTTTCAGCTTGGTACAATGTGCTGACACTTGTGGAAGAAGAGCTTATTTTGGGCTACCCACTCCCCTTGAAATCACAGCATCATAGAATGGTTGGTTTGGAAGGAACTTCAAAGCCTTCCCATCCCCAACTCCTGTTGTAGGCTGGGTGCCCCCCACCAGCTCAAGCTGCCCAGGGCCCCACCCACAGCCTTGGGCATCTCCAATCTCCCTGGGCAGCAGTGCCAGGGCCTCTCTGCTCTCTGACCAAAATCTCCCTCTTTTAATTTAAAGTCATTTCTCCTTGCCATATCTCTACCTGCCTGCGTAAAAAGTCTCTCTCCCTCCGATCTATCAGCTCCCTTCAGGCTCTGGAAGGCTAAAGTGAGGTCTCCCCAGAGCTTTCCCTTTTCTCCAGGCTGAACACCCCCAGCTCCCTCAGCCAGTCTCCATAGAGAGGTGCTCCAACCCAATGGAAATGGTTTGGCTCATTAGTGGAAACAGTGGAAGCTGAGCCAGGAGCCTTTGATAGCTCCTCTGGTGGTTTGGCTTCCCATCTCACCCATTTAAAACTTACCCCTTGATCATCTGTGGGTGAATTACGCAGGTGGTGGCTGAGCTGTGCCAGCCTGGCAGCAGTTCCCAACTGCTGTGCAGCATATGGCACCTCTCCCCTGCTCCCATGGGGATGTGGCACAGAACAATGTCAGTCCAGGCCCCATTCTACTTACTGATGTTGCTGATAAAAACTGCCCCTGGTCTCTGTAGAAACCTGTTTCCAAGGGTAAATACTCTAAAAGTCTGGCTGCTGCACCTTCATTCACATTGCCCCATCCCTGGAGGTGTTCAAGGCCAGGTTGGATGGGGCCCTGGGCAGTCTGGGCTGGTATTAAATGTGGAGGTTGAAGCAGGGAGGGTTGGAGCTGCACGATCCTTGAGGTCCCTTCCAAGCCAAGTCATTCTATGATTCTATGATTCAAAAAATAAAGTTTTATCTAGCTTTCATTTTTACATCCGTTTGGTTTCCATCTGACTATTTCAGAGAAATGCTTTCAAACAAAAACAGGGGAGATTTAGACTGGATTTGAGGAAAATAAAACCGGTGAGCCACTGCACAGGTTGCCCAGAGAGGTGCAGATGCCTAAGGTCAGGGGATGGGGCTGTGAGCACTGATGGAGCTGTGGGTGTCCTTTTGCACTGCAGGGAGTGGGACTTGATGGCCTTTCGGGGTTCCTTTCCAACTCAAACAATGACTCAATAAAAAAGGAAGAAGACAGGAACTCTCTGATTTCTAACCTTTCCCTTTTGAAAAAGGGAACAGTACAAAGCTAATCTGTGGAATATACAGATTTGTATATTGCATATTACACTGTCATTTGCAGAAGTTTACAATACATAATGCAAACTTCTTTCACTACATGATGGAAAGAACAGAGGATTATGATGCAGGAAGAGCATAGCAGTGACAAGAAAATCAAATTTCCTGCATCCATCTCCAGCAGGTTAGATATGAGAAAAACAAAAACCAATCCTCCCCACCGAGTAGTGGGTAGGTAACCTTTCTTTTAAGGACTAAAGCTACAGAGAGCAAGGTTAGTAAGTTAACTGGGTTCTCAACCTGACCTTTAGAGGTCCCTTCCAACACAAATGATTCTACAGACTCAAAAAGTGGGCCTGGGAGAATCTAATGAGGTTCAACACAGCAAAGTGCAAGGTCTGGCACTTGGGCTGGAGGAATCCCAGGCATTTATACAGACTGGAAGGAGTAGCCTTGAGAGCAGCCCTGCAGAGAAGGACCTGGGGGTCCAGGTGGATGAAAAACTGAACATGAGCCAGCAGCATGCTCTTACAGCTTGGAAAGCAAATAGGATCCTGGGCTCCATCAGAAGAGGGGTGGCCAGCAGGGACAGGGAGGTGATTGTCCCTCTCTACTCTGCCCTCGTGAGGCTCCATCTGCAGTACTGTGTCGAGGTATGGAGCCCCCAATACAAGAAAGACAGGGAGCTGTTGGAGAGGGTCCAGAGGAGCCACAAAGATGATCAGGGGGCTGCAGCACCTCCCCTACAAAGACAGGCTGAGGGAGCTGGGCTTGTTCAGCCTGGAGAAGAGAAGGCTGCGGGGTGAATCATTGCAGCCTTCCAGGACCTAAAGGGAGCCTACAAACAGGAGGGGAGTCAGCTCTTGGAAAGGGTAGATAACAGCAGGACAAGGGGAAATGGTTGGAAGTTGAGGGAGGGCAGATTTCAGTTGGATGTCAGGGGGAAGTTGTTTGCTGTGAGAGTGGTGAGGTGCTGGAGCAGCTGCCCAGAGAGGCTGTGGATGCCCCGTCCATCCCTGGAGGTGTTCAAGGCCAGGTTGGATGGGGCCCTGGGCAGCAGCCTGGGCTGCTGTTAAATGTGGAGGTTGGTGGCCCTGCATGTGGTGGGGGGGTTGGAGCTTCATGATCCTTGAGGTCCCTTCCAACCCCGGCCATTCTGTGATTCTATGAAAAGCAGTGGGTGCAGCAAGCAGTTTGCACTACCCTAGGGAAGGCAATCCTCCATTTATGAGGGTCTGCCCCACAATATGAAAGAGTTGTAACAGAAGGAGATTTGGAAAACAGACTGTGAGGTCATTTCCCAAACTTGCTGTGTCAGAACTCCATCATGAACACGTGAGGCCAAGGTTCCCTAACTCGCAACAGCAAGAAGCAGACCAAACAACAAGCTTTCCATGCTCCTAAGAAAAACCTTTCCATCCATCCCTGAAGCAAAGGATTCCTTTCTGCCTGCTCTCACTGGCAGAGGATTGGTGAGCTGAGAGATTCCAGCCCAGCATGGAACAGCACATCAAGTGGCAATTCCAATCTTCCTCTGCAGAGCACAACAACACAGCTTGTCAGTAAGCTGTGTGATGAGCAAATGGAAAGACCAGATAACAGCTTACAAACATTTAAAGAAATAAATACCATGGAGTGTGGGCATACATATATATAATTTTTTTTAGGGCTAAACAAGGAGCTGCACACAGGAATGTGATGAAATTAAGGCTGATTATGAAGAATGGCTTCCTGAGAGATTTATCATCCTGTGGCATAGTTTCAGTGGAAGCAATGAATGCCTGATGACAGAGATCACTTGAAATTATGCTGGGCAAAAGAGAAATGATGAAAACAGGCCTAAGGTAGCACAGAGACCTCTAAGATATCCAGCTGCATTGTTGTGTTATAGATTCTCTTCATCTCATGGTTGTTTCTCCATAGCAAATAAGCAAACAGCTCCAGTTCTGCAGTCCCAGCTCTCTCCTAACACAACCTATGAGCTGTTTCACCTTTTTTTTTTTTTTTAATAACTGGAGCTGTACACTGCACTGTTGGTTTCAATTATTTGCCCATAATGATCTCCGAATTCTTTTCCTGATCAGTTTGTTGGATGACTGTTCCATTTAGCATGTATTCCCTAGCTCAGTCCCCAACTTATTTTCCAGTTATCTATATTGAACGGCATTTGTCACCTCAATTATCCAAATTCTTTGGAATCTGCCTCTGCTGTTCCTCATTATAAGCCCAAAATTTGTGACGTTCTGGGCACCCAACTCCTACCAAAGCCAACAGCCACCGAGGAGACGCAGAGTCGCATCGGATATGGCTCAGCTGTTTTGCCTCCAGCTTCTCTATTTATTTTTTTGGAAATCTTGCTTTCAATGCTGTCTTCCAAACCATTTCTATAAACAGACAGAATAAAGATGCTAAAAATGACCCCGGGAGAGGGAAGGTCACTTTGCAATTGCTTACTAACTAAACTGGTTATGACCAGTCGTGCAGTTCTGGAAGGCACGGTATCTTCCCAGAACCTCCTTTGTACACATCAGCATGACGGGCAGCACACTTGGTAATGAGACAGCCAGATCTGAGCTAAGCTAAAACAAAGACTGAATGACTGAGGCACCCCAACGGAATGCCAAAACGCTCACAGCATTAGAAAACCAGAAAGCTCCAACTACAGCCATTTGCATGGTTATCAGTCCTCTCTCAATCCCTCAATCGTTGACCAACAGCCTTAGATAGGAGCACTGCTGGAGCCAGGCCCCTGACCCACATGGCTGCTTGTTTTTGCATCTCTTACCTTCCTCATCACTGCTGTCAGATTCCAGTTGTTTGATTCTCTTCCTCTTCTTCTTTTGATTTTCGGGCTCTCTTTCCTCCTCATTGTCAGACTTGTCCATTCTCTTCATTTTACTGCCACAAAGAAAAATTGAAATAAGGAATGAAAACACACCATCCCTTGTGTTTGTGCATGAAAACATACATTGCTGATAGAAGAGCTGCCAGCAAGGAGATCAAATACCTCTGCTACCTCCTAAAAACATATGAGCATCACATGCTGAAGTGTACTCACCCATACCATCAGACAGAGGTGCAAGGGCATTTTTAAGCCTCTCAACCTTACCCATATTCCGTTCTCTTAAACAAGGAGGACTTCTTCAGCCCCTCTGCAGCTCAGTGTTTTGCCCAGTGCCTCACCTAGCTTGGCCACAGCAAGCTGGCAGGCAGGCATTTCTGATCTTGTCTCTATAGCTCAGGCTCCCAAACACTCCTGTCCCCAACAGCATCGTTCAGAAGCTCTTTTGACAGACTGCTCGCCACTGACTGACTATGAGGTAGTGTCTCAGAATCCTGGAGCCATTTTTAAAGACTACTGGAAAAATAAAATAGCTTCTTTCTTTTTAATGTTGGCGAGACACGTCAGACTAACAAGCCTGGAGGCTAAAGGCCCACGTATCCTCATGGAGCTGGTATGGCCCAAGTGGCCTTCCTAACACCACGCTGCCAACATGCCGTTTCCAGGCCCCTGGACTGAATAGGACTATCAATAAGAAGACCAGTTAGCACCAACTGCCATGGTGGGCTGGGTGGTGCACTCACCTATTTAGTTAGCAACAGATTGAGACCACCAATTAATTACTCATAGGCCACCAGAGAGCCATCAGACTGTAATGATTTTTTGTCTCTGTCAGTTTGGGTTGGATTAAACACAAAGGGTTGAACTTAAAATTTACTTGGAGCTTCAGCCCAAAGTAAACCAGCGGCATTGAAAGCAGCAGTACATTTGCTATGGGAATCAACAAGCAGAACTTTGTGTGCTGGGAGCTGTGTACATATAAGCTTGGGAATATACTGCCTTCCCTGCAACACAGGTGCTCCTGCCAGCCCCCACAGATTGCCTGTGGGGTCCGTGCTCAGCCTGCTCACAGCATGAGGCTGTCTCATGGAACGCCATCCCCTCCCACTGGACAGTACCTGGACCATGTCCCTTCCCATTTGCAAAGGCACAGATGGCCCTGAGGCATCTACAGCACTAAATGGAGAAGACATATTAAGAAAGAACTCTAAGAGAGATAAATTTAGACACGTTTAATGCTGTTTAGTAGCTGGGAAGAGGAGACAAGCCAACGCTGTACATCCAGCCAGCTCAACGTAAGGCCATCAACAAACAGGTTGAGAGATTACAGTGACCCTGACTAGTGTGGCCCACCTCTTTTTGTCCTTTTGTTGAATTTTAGCAGGCTCTGTTTTCCTCCCAGGTTTCTCTACTATGGTATTAGGAGATGACTCTGGTTCTGTTGCAGGAACTGAAGTCTTGACAGCTTCTTTTTCCTCCTTTGGCTGCTCAGGCACTGAGTTGACTTTGAGTTTATCTGTGAATAAAACATTAAAAAAATAAAGAATGTACATATGACAACTCATAAAGGAGTGGGTTAAGCAAAACAGTGTGCACCAACAACACAGACAGCACTACAGATGATGCATAAAGGCTTTAAGGGATCTGAATGGACCAAGCTGAGTAATACAAGGAGATGCTTGGGTCTGCAGCTGATTTGCTTCTACTGTTCCTGATGCCACAGCACAAACACACTGCAAGCCAAAGATGCTGCAGCAGTTCATAAACTCTGCAAAAAGGGCTGGAAGACAGTGGCAGAAGCTGGTATGGTCATTAGGACTGTAAGGCACCACAAAGGATTGAGAGTCCATCCCTCTTCTACGCATCCCCCTGGGCAAAACAACACATTCATCTTTACTGTCAGTTCACTCCTTTTAAATTGGAGCTTTAATTGAGCAAGAAGAGCCCAGAAACAGAGAAATCAGGATTGATGAAAAGCAATGAGAAGTGTGTGCAGCCTCCACCCTGTGCAACATTACTAAAAATACTGAGTGTGGGCTCCAGTATAGCAGTTTGGAACTGAGAAAGAGACAATCTCATCAAGAATCAGTCTCTTTTGCCTATGCAGCACCATGAACACAGGCAATTCTACTGCAAAAGGCTTAACCTAGCACCAGCAAGGTGGGAATGGACAGCAAGTAAAAAAGTCAGGCTGATTTATCAACCTAATAGGCAATGCTGTTAGTGTGGGCACATGCATAGGCCATTTAGAAGCCTGCATCACCTCCAGCAGGAGATCATAGAATGATAGAATGGCCTGGGTTGCAAAGGAGCACAAAGCTCATCCAGTTCCAACCCCCTGCTGTGTGCAGGGTCGCCAACCAGCAGACCAGACTGCCCAGAGCCACATCTTGAATGCCTCCAGGGATGGGGCATCCACAACCTCCTTGGGCAACCTGTTCCAAGGAAATGGGTGGGAAAAGCATCCAATAGTGAGATCAAGAGGAGTAGAGGCTGCTGAGAGGGCTCAGCATGCCAACATCTTTCTGACAGTGCCCGGAAGACAGGCTGGCTGCCTTACTGAATGAGGGAAAACAGCTCCAAAGGAAGAGCCTGAGTGACAGCTATCTTATTTATCATTGATAGCATAGGGCTGGAGGACACAACTATTGTTAACTCAGGGCTTTCTGGCAATGGCAAAGTCTTTGAAGCCAGAAAAAGCACACTGACATGTGGGGAATAAATCTTACCTCTGGAATCACCCTATCTTTTCTATACACATAATCATTTCCAGTTCTGCCCAGTTTGCTGGGGGCTCAGGAGAGGACCTACCTCCCACTGGAAGTCACTGAAATACATCCACAAAGTTATCCTGCGTTATCTTCACCATGCAATTTCAATTTCAATTTCCTGAGTTTTTAGAATGTGAGGTTTTGGTCTAGGGCCCTTCAAAGATGTAAGAACGGAATGAAGTTAATTGCAGTAAGTGCCCTTAGACTTGTGAGTCTCAGGCTGAAAGCACTGTGTGCAATCTACTACACCAAAACAGGAGCTCAAAGATGTCCATCAGCACTGCATGCTGTGTTCATTGACTGTACCCTGCAGATTTTAACAGCTGCTTGCTAGACATCAACGTTTGCCATTTACTCCTTCCCAGCAACTCTTCTTTAAATCCCCTGGTATTTTTGATTGGAAAAGCATCTTTGAAGAACGCCGTGTAGTGCTTTTCCAACATCTAATCAAAAGCTTTGGCATGCTTTCTCCTGCCATGGGCAGTTTCAGTTGGAAGGGGCCTCCAGAGGCCGCCTAACCCAAACCCCCTGCTCAAAGGCAAAGACCATCTCTCATTTTTCTATGCTGATTATCAGCTGTGCAGTTTGCAGGATAGGAATTAACCCTAAATCTTAACTAGAGGCTCCTCAGTGATTTGTGATGAAAAGTGAGCATCGTTAACATGCTCAGTGTAACAGGTTTTGGCAAACACTCTGCCAATAGCTGATCTTCCAGCCAACAGTGCTCACTTTAAATCAGCTAAAACTCCTTCCTGGGTTAGTCTGCACAAATACGTCATCTTAATTGATCTCTACCCAGCAAGCTTATTGTCTGAAACATTCCACTTACAACTTTTCTTTAATTTTTGCCTTAAGAGCTGCATGCCAAAAAAATTAACCCCTCTGAATTCAAAAGAGCAGAAGAATCACAGAATGGCCTGGGTTGCAAAGGAGCACAATGCTCACCCAGTTCCAACCCTCTGCTGTGTGCAGGTCGCCAAGCAGCAGCCCAGGCTGCCCAGAGCCACATCCAGCCTGGCCTTGAATGCCTGCAGGGATGGGGCATCCACAACCTCCTTGGGCAACCTGTTCCAGTGCCTCACCACCCTCTGGCTGAAAATCTTCCTCCTCATATCCAACCTAAACCTCCCCTGTCTCACTTTAAAACCATTCCCCCTTGTCCTATCACCATCCACCCTCATAAACAGCCGTTCCTCCTCTTGCTTATAGTCCCTTCAAATATTGCAAGGCCACAATGAGGTCTCCCTGCAGCCTTCTCCATGCATGATATGGAGAACCCTAAGAAAAATGAAGGATATAAAGGAAATCCAACAAGCCTCATGTCACTGGGGTGGGGCGAACAGAGTGTGAGAAGCTCTGCTCCTTTTTCACTATTCATACCTCCCCAACACAGCTGTACAGCCAGACACCTGACATCACTAATTACTTCTAATTACTGCTTAGCAAAAAAATAATTGATTTCCAATATCCCTCAGGACTTTCATTTATATATTTTTTGACTACAGAGGGTTGGTACCTAACCACAACTGACACCTGGCATAAAGCACTTACTCATGGCAGCTTTTCCAAAGAAGTTGTTCATGATGTTGGCCTTTGCTGATGGCTTACTGCTCGCTGCAGACACCTGGAAGCAAACAGAGGAGTAACCACAGGAATTATTCATGAAACACAGCCCTCAAAATGCACAGCACTGCTTCTGAACAAACAGAATTAATACGTATAACTAGCTGCCTGGTCAGCATCTCAGATTTCAACACCTGTGGAGGAGAATTTGAGAAGAGTAGATAATAAATGGATCAAAAGGTTGAGAGTTCCTTAGCACACTGTAGGCTGGGCCTTCAGAGCTAACCTAGGTCACATTCCATCTGATGGCTCACAGCGTTACTGAAAGAAGTGGTTGGGATTTGGGTCAGTTCCCAGTAAAGAACTGTTCTTTTTTTTTTTTTTTTTTGCAAAATATCAGTGCCTCAATTCATGGTAACCGTCAGAGGAAAGAACACAGATTGGCCAAAGCATGAAGACTTTATCCAGCTCCTCTGGCACAAATGCTGCACTGCTGAGCAGTCTGCAAAGAACTATCATTGCTCTATTCCATTCCTATAGCCACTACCAAAAAGAAAAATCACACACACAAACACACACACCTAAGAGAGCTTGGTCTCCTAATCCCATTTATTTTCATGTAAAACAACCAGACACTAAACTTTCCTAAACATTCAGACAAGTACGTTTCATCAGTTCTAAATCACAAAAATGAACCAAAATGTACTCCATTGTTATAAAAAAAGCCAAACCACGCACGGAGAACATTACCATTTTAATACCCACTCGGAGGCCACACTGCTTTAAAAAGACTTGTGCTAATTAGAATTAAAACATAATCCTGTGCTGGAAAAAAGCAGCAGCTGGGAAGATAAACATTTTAGTCTTGCACAGGTCAGGCTCTGAAGCTTCCCTCACAGACCAAGTTTAAACACCTTGATACTTTTAAGACCTGGGCTTCTCACATTTCACATATTGCTCAAAACAAATCCTTTTAAGCACAATAGAGAGGGCGAGATCCTCAACTGGTGTATATATTGGCATAACTGAAGACAATGGAACAATTGCCTCAATGATGCAGCTATGCTGGTTTACACTAGTTGAAGATCTGGCTCAAAGAGGAACGTCAAAGTGTCAAAGTGATGGCAAATACACTTCAGTGGGCAGGTCAAGAGTGTGGCACATATACTTCCCTCAGAGGGGACTTGATGACAGAAAGCACAACTGTGACACAGTTAAACACCTACAGAAGTGTCTGAGCCCTCCCAGCAGGCAGCAAGCTTAGCACTGGAAGCAGTGAATGAAGCTGCAGTGTGGCTGGTTAAGGTTAGCTAAGTTCATAGCATCACTAAGGTTGGAAAAGAGATCTAAAATCAAAGCAACCCATCCCCACTGTGCCCATTACTCATTATGGCCTTGCAATATTTGAAGGGAGTGTATAAACAGGAGGGGGAACAGCTGTTTATGAGGGTGGATAGTGATAGGACAAGGGGGAATGGTTTTAAAGTGAGACAGGGGAGGTTTAGGTTGGATATGAGGAGGAAGTTTTTCAGCCAGAGGGTGGTGAGGCACTGGAACAGGTTGCCCAAGGAGGCTGTGGATGCCCCATCCCTGCAGGCATTCAAGGCCAGGCTGGATGTGGCTCTGGGCAGCCTGGTCTGCTGGTTGGAGACACTGCACACAGCAGGGGTTTGGAACTGGATGAGCGTTGTTGTCTTTTGCAACCCAGACCATTCTGTGATATGATTCTATGATGTGATATGTGCCACATCTACCCTTTTCTTGAACACCTCCAGGGACAGTGACTCCACACCTCCCTGGGCAGCCCATTCCAATACTTTACTACTCCTTCAGCAAAGAAACTTTTCTTAACATCCAACATGAAGAGCAAAGCTAGAAGAGCAGTTCATTAAAGCCGTTAACCCAAAGGGTCTGAGCTCACTTACACTTGGAGCCTCCTTAGCTTTCGGCTCTTTATTTGCATCCTGGGCTTTGGAAGCAGCTTTGGCTGCAAACATCCCCATGATCCCCTTGGGGGGCTGTGAGCTCTGCTTAGCAGCTGTAGGACCGTGGCCATTGAGTGGTGGTGTGCTGACAGTGCTTGTGTCACTCGGTGCCTGGGAACCAGCCCGTGCCAACGTCCGTGCTTGAGCAACTTCAGATGGAGTCCTGGGGACTGCATCAGCACAGCGAATGGCACTGAACCTGTGTAAAGGAGTAAGAAATTGAGTTAGCCTCTTAAGTGTCCACCTCCTCTGGATGTCCACCTCCTCTGGGTGTCCACCTCAGCTCCCTTCCTGGTAGTGCATTGCCTCTCCTGTTCTGCATTCTCCTGTTATGGAAAGAACAATTTAATTTGTGCCAGGGCTGGCACTGGGAAAAATGATAGAGACCTCTACTGAAAAGATCAGCTGGACCTGTCAACAGGAGCCAGAGCGTTCAGATGCAAAACAAGCTGTTCAGATTTCATGGGGGAGGAGGGAGCCCATCTTCACACCCAGGGTAGGGATGGAGTCAACTGCATTTTATTCCTAAACTGGTTGCGCTCCCGCAGGCTTGCAGCAAACATAGTTTTGCTGTCTGATGAGCTTTACAACTTTCAGATGCTTTGACAGAGCCCATTACAGCTGCAGCAAGCAGGTGAGGAGATCACAACTGCAACCCAACTGCTGAGGTGGCTCTGAAGACATCCAGGGACTTCACTATATAAAGGCATTTCCATGCAATCTCTTGTAGACAGAGATGCATCTCAGCTTGCGGCAGTCTGAAACGTGATTGTCTGAGGGAGGCAGAGATAGAAGAATTAAACGACGTGCTCACAGTTACAACACAAGTCACTGACAGTCAGGAATAGCTGTACCCAAAAATAACCCAGTTCTGCTCCCCACTGTGCAAATCACAGGCGAGGCTTTCCAGATTTCCTACAGCAATGCCACAAAAGAGCACGGGCTCACGCCTTCCAATCCATGGAATTACACAGCGTGTTTTTATTTGCATAAGAAAGCAAGCAGTTTTCTGCCAATTAATTGCCTCAGCACTAGCAGTCCACTTTGACTCCGATCACAAACTGAAACATATTAGCAAATATCTCTATGGCACTTCGAGGCTGCAGCAGCCATCTCCCAACATTCAAACCTTTAAAGGAAGGAAAGAAGACATTGAGGGAAAATATTCCCCCTTTCCTTTCTACTTTGAGCCTCTTTTCAGCTCACTGCTACTCCACAAACACTCGTGAGCAACACCAGAAATCACCAGATTACAAATGACACGTGATCATCAATGGCTGTATTGAGTGTGCAGCAAAGCACATCTCAACCTCGTGCACCTCTGGGAAGTTACCTTGCCTTAATGCTGCTGTGTGACTATAGCTCGTGGGCTCCATCCAAAATTCACTCAATAATCACTGAAAAAACAAGCAATGTTTGGACTGTGCTCTGCAAGCAAGGAGCTGCTTCCGTTTGGAAAGCTGACATTAGCAACATACATTAAATCCAGCTATTTACATGAGGGCACCAAGTCACCTCCACTGCCTTCGCAGCATAAGAGGTCCCATACAAATACAGAGGAGAATATAGATCCTGGCCCCAGAGCTTATGAGATATATGGACTGAGAAGGAAATATAAGCAGCCAGTGGGTTCTGTTTGCTATAAACATGCACATAGTCAGACCTCTGTGTTCACAGGGACTGTGGGGATCTCATCCCAGCTGTAACAGACTGCTCATGTAGTGGACAAGTCCAAGGGAGAGGGAACAGGGCTGGTCTGAATTTCGTCCAGCCAGGACACAGATGAAGAAGCTGAATTTTTCTCAGTTTGTTTGGGAATTTCTGCTCCAAAGCCAGGAGGAGAACTAAACGTAGGCTGCAGAAAGTAGATTTCAGAACCTGCACTGTCTAAATCTTCTGGGTGTACAAATCTGAAAGGCAAGCATCTGTAAGACACAGGCACCTCCATGTGGGGCTACCCTACAGTAAACAGAGCAGAACAAGGTGAAGGCAGCCAGGAGAACAGCATACCTCTTCCCTGAAGCTAGGCTTTCCACTGCCTCCTATGGCACTGACATTCACATCTCAAATGCAGTTTCTAAGATCTTATTCTTCACCCAGAGGGTGGTGAGGCACTGGAACAGGTTGCCCAAGGAGGTTGTGGATGCCCCATCCCTGAGGCATTCAGGGCCAGGCTGGATGTGGCTCTGGGCAGCCTGGGCTGCTGGTTGGTGACCCTGCATATAGCAGGGGATTGGAACTGGATGAGCATTGTGCTTCTTTGCAACCCAGGCCATTCTATCATTCTATGATTTTCTCAAACACATTCTTGTGAGCATTTTGAAGGCAGCTCCATTTCTACTCTTCTACTCTATACTCGTTCTATGACACTACATTTTGAGCATCCATCCTCCTTCTAACGCACAGTGCCCATGCCACTGCACATAGCAACTGCAGCAAGATGAAGCTATCAGAGTGGAAATGCATCTGAATGAAAGGTCAGAAATGCCAGGCACCACACAGAGAAAAAAGGAGGCTAAAGTTCCTCTGAATTCTAAGGCAACCTTCCACTAGTCCAACCACAAACAACGCTTGTTCACACTTCCATAGGAGGAATGAGTTCCTACAAACCATCTTAGAATCATGGAATGGCTGGGTTGCAAAGGAGCACAATGCTCATCCAGTTCCAACCCCCTGCTCTGTGCAGGTCGCCAAGCAGCAGCCCAGGCTGCCCACAGCCACATCCAGCCTGGCCTTGAATGCCTGCAGGGATGGGGCATCCACAGCCTCCTTGGGCAACCTGTTCCACTGCCTCACCACCCTCTGGCTCAAAAGCTTCCTCCTCATATCCAACCTAAACCTCCCCTGTCTCACTTTAAAACCATTCTCCCTTGTTCTATCACTACCCACCCTCACAAACAGCCATTCCCCCTCCTGTTTATACACTCCCTCCAAATACTGGAAGGCCACAATGAGGTCTCCCTGGAGCCTTCTCTTCCCCAAGCTAAACAAGTCCAGTTCCCTCATCCTCTCCTAATAGGAGAGGTGCTCCAGCCCTCTGACCACCTTAGTGGCCCTCCTCTGGGCCCTATTCAGAGAGGTGGAAGGGACCAAAGAACAAAGGCACAGTCCCACAAAACAGAAGGTAAGCTCAGGTTACTGCTTTGCTGAACACATCACTCGTGCTTTTGCACTGTTTCAATTTACCCTTCCTGTGTGACAGAGAAACGGATAAAATCAGGGATGATTAAGTGTGGCCAGGAAATGAGAAAAATGTTTCTAGCCATCTGACAAGAAAGGTACTGGAACTCTGCTGGAATAACAGAGTAAGTGAAGCAACTGTAAGCTGGAAATAGCTCCGTTTATAAAGCAATCATACAACGTGCTGTCTGGGGACTGGTTTGGCATGGCTCTTCTCTAGCTTTCTAAAAATCCAGGCATATTTGGTAACCACTGCCTTCTGCTGAAGCGCACTGGGTAACAACGTCTCATTGGTCTCAAATCACACAGCATTAGAAGGAAAACCAAGGAGCAACTCACTTGCTGCAGTTATGCAGGTTGGTTTTGATGATATCGTAGTCTGTGTTGTAGAGTGGCCCGCTGTCTTTGAGCAGGGCTTTCTGAATGCTGTAGACATGCACGCTGGTAACCGTGGCCAGTTTAGACTTCATTGCTGGGTGGGGAGAAAGAAGAGACTTCTGTTAGCACAGCCATTAAAGAACCAGGTGACAGCTCTAACAGAATTCATAGAATGGCCTGGGTTGCAAAAGACAACAGTGCTCACCCAGTTCCAACCCCCTGCTGTGTGCAGGGTCGCCAACCAGCAGCCCAGGCTGCCCAGAGCCACATCCAGCCTGGCCTTGAATGCCTGCAGGGATGGGGCATCCACAGCCTCCTTGGGCAACCTGTTCCACTGCCTCACCACCCTCTGGCTGAAAAAATTCCTCCTAATATCCAACCTAAACCTCCCCTGTCTCACTTTAAAACCATTCCTCCTTGTCCTATCACCATCCACCCTCACAAACAGCCGTTCCCCCTCCTGTTTATACACTCCCTCCAAGTACTGGAAGGCCACAATGAGGTCTCCCTGGAGCCTTCTCTTCCCCAAGCTAAACAAACCCAGTTCCCTCAACCTTTCGTCACAGGAAAGGTGCTCCAGCCCTCTGATCATCTTAATGGACCTCCTCTGGACCCACTCCAAGAGCTCCTCATCTTCAGACAAATCTCAGTGTTTGCCTTCAGAATACCCAGCATCTGGGATCCAGAATATCTACATGTCCACCTAAAGTTCAGCAAGAAAAGGATGGTGATATCTCTACGCTGCTGCAGCTGCTCCTTGCCATTAAAGGTACCAACTAACATTGCAGGATTTCCTCCAGTAATCCACTGAAATCAATGTTTTGTCTTTTTGACTCTATTTAGACTGCAGCCTTGAGACCAGAGCTGCTTTCTTTTTTATTTTAAGCCATTCTTTGTTCTCTGCTTATATCGCTCTTTCCACACTGCCCTGGGTTTGAGATGGAGCTTCGAGGCACTGCAAAAATACACACAGTAATCATTTCTTGGGGCCAGTCCTAGTCTGAGCAGCCCTGCTCCCATCACAAAGCTTAACCTCTTCCAAATGTAAGTCAGACCTTTGGCTGGCTTTGAATACAAAAAACATGAACAACTCTGCTCTCCCCATCACTACACAGCACGCATAATTCAGCACACCTGACAGATAGTAGTTGCACTGCTTGACAATACCCTGATAAAGACAACTTCACTAGAAATCTACTTCACTTTTCAAAGAAAAATAATACAAGTTAGGCCATTAATACTGATGGTAAAGGTCACAAACACCACAGCTTGCTCTCAAATGCCAAAGATGTTACTTGAAAGTGACATGGAGCCTTGCAGCTGTGTTTCTGTTGTTACAGCTCAGAGCTCATTAGCAGGATCAGACGTGGAAAAAGATGGAAAAGAATCCCTGTTGACTAAAATGTGCAGCAGGGAAATCAGACCTCAGTCCCAAGGCTGCGAAGTTACCGAGCTGTTGGCTCAGATGGTCAAAATTCTGAGAAACAAACTGGTACAAGAAGTACACACCTGAACTGCACACAGCCTGACTGGGCACTTCAGGTGCAGATGCCAAGTGCTCAGCTCTGCTCACTTTGTTGTTCTTTCAAAGCAAAAAAGCATGCTGGAACAGGTTGCCCAAGGAGGTTGTGGATGCCCCATCCCTGCAGGCACTCAAGGCCAGGCTGGATGTGGCTCTGGGCAGCCTGATCTGCTGGTTGGTGACCCTGCACATAGCAGGGGGTTGGAACTGGATGAGCACTGTAGTCCTTTGCAACCCAGGCCTCTCTATTCATCATCTTACAATCCGCTTACCTTCCAGTTTATCCTCTCTCACTACTGCAACCTTGTGGCACTGTAAAAAAAAACAAAAACAAATTGCAATCTTAAGATTTGAAAAGACATAAAACAAATCTTTTAAATAAGATCAATATCTTCATTTATCTGCTGAATGAGAAAGTCTGCAGGTTAGAGGTGCAATTTTGCACTAAAACTCTCAGAGTTTGCCCAAAGCTCTGCCACTACCTTTAAACGGTCATCAGCCACTGATTTCTAAAGCCACAGCTTCCTATTTTTCTCATCATACACTATTTCAGAGCTCAGAAGAAATGCTCAGTCCTCCATTCCTGACCTCAGGAGATGAGATACAGAAGAAATGAGAACAAAACAACGCAACACAGCTGAGAAAAGCAAAGTGATGTCACTGTTGACTAACTGCTCTCCAAAGTTGATACACTGGCCCACGTATCTTTACATTGCCTGCAAATTCAAAGTTGCAATATTTAGCAAAGATGTGGCACCAGAAAAGCAAGCCACAGTGAGAAATTAAGCATTAATTTAACAGCCAGAAATGAGTGCTTCCAGAAATGCACTCTACAGCATGTATTCTTTCCAGGCTTCAAGTATCACACCTGCTCTCTGACATTCAACAGGCTGCAGTTAGCACAGGGAGCATCCAAATAGACAGGCTGGACAAAATCCATCCATTACTTTTGTGTCTGGCACATACCAACACACTATCCAGAAAATGAACAAGAGGCAAGAAAGTGCAACTAACCTGAAAAGGTAAAGAAAGATTGAGAGTCTCCGTGCCACACTGGGGCTGTAAGTAAACAGCATGCAGTGCTTAAAGTGAGAAATATTTGTGACAGATTTGTGGCTGTATCCCTGCAACTGAATACACAGCCTTGTGGCTACACCTACTGACAGCAGGCAGGAGTGCAGGCTTACCAGCAGAGACAGGACCTGAAGCACTCTCATCCATTTCCTCCCAGTAGTTGTGCCAGATACTGCCTACAAGCTGCTCAAGATGCCTGCACATCTTCTGGAAGTGTTCTCCAGGTGCAAGCTCCTGTCCTGCCTTCTCTGGATAGTCCTTAAACATTCAGTCTGGGGAGCACCCAGCACCTCCTGCATGCCATTCACTTCTGCCCCAATGACCCACTGTGGCTGCAGGTCATCTCTCAGCAGCCACTGGGATGGCAGTGCTCAAAACCAAGATATTTGAAAAATAGGGAAGGGGAAAATAAATGATCTTTATGCACTTCCCTTTGTAGATCTTTCTTGTTTTAAAAATACTGCTGAGTTAAACATATATCTACCCATATCCTATGTACCCTGTGCCAGAATTCACTTACTTGCTTGACCTTTAAATTTGCCCTGATGTATTAAAAATGTTGTGTAGATAAACTTCTTGCCAGTTCTAGGGAGCCAAGAGCTGCTGCCTTGTTATCTCCAAAAGAAACCAGAGAAATAGATGGGGCTGTGAGCAACGTGATTGAGAGGGAGGTATCCCTGCCTACAGCAGGGAGTTGGAAATAGGTGATCTTAAAGGTTCCTTCCAACCCAAACCTTTCTGTGATTCTATGAAAGCCTATTAAACTCAGGCTTATAGGCATGAAAACCCCTCTAAATGAAGACCAGGGTTTGTATTTCAGAAAATATTTGAGTATTCAAAAGATACAAACAGACACCTAGTGGTGCAAAGGCCTTCAGTGTTTGGCTCATTCAACTCTTCTGGGAGCAAAGGGGAACAGGTGACCAATTTGCTTCTTTTCTTTCAACAACCCCTGAGGTACCTATCAGAACTTTTAGATGGCATTTTTGAAAACCTGACAAGCAGTAAAGAGAAACACATAGTTAATACACTTAATACATTAACCACAAAACAATTGGAAGTGAATTACAAGCTCTCTCCAATGCTTCTTCACACAGTTCTACTCCACAGCAAATCCTGGAGAACACATTAGCTGCTCTCACAAGGGCCCCTCCAGGTTATATATATATGTATTTTTTAAATAAAAATTTGCTGTCCAAAAGTAATGATAAGATTGAGAAATAACCCTAACCCTAAATAACTGTACAGGTACAGAAGACCCAGCATCTTGTGCTTAGTGCTGGAACAAACAGAACAAGTTGAGCTTCTGACCCAAAGGTTACAAAACAAGGGAGAAGATGAGAACAAACAGTTTATAGAAATCCTGGAGAAAGAAAACTCACTGTATGTCCATTCTGGATGAGGTTTCCTGCTACCAGGTAGGTGACGTGAAGCTGAGCTCCTGAGTTCTCCTTTCGTTTCCTCTCTACATAATCATACAGCATCCTGCACAAAGAAACCAGCGTTAATCACCCAGAAAGCAAAGAGCACACACTGCAGCTTACATCAAAAGAGCAAAGCCAGTCTGATGTGGAAACACTTTTACACCAACACTGGGATTAATTTAACATTGTTGATCTGCCTTCCTCCCCTGCCACCAAGGATCTCACAGCCCAACATTCACCAAAGGAGAAACAAACTCAAGCTCTCAGTGGTTGAATAGCTGGCTACAGATTGTTTCAGATCCCCTAGGCTGCTTGTTGTGAAGTTTCCCCTTGAGAAATGCTGTTACGACCTTGAGTGATGAAAGTCCTGACCAAAGAACTGGTGATTTTGCACACAAGGACATTGCCAGGTGCATACGTACAGTCCCAGCTACAACCACTGACACTGTGATAAGAAACATAAGGAAACCGTGACTACAGAGAGATAGGAAATGAGTTTGCAGCTTCTGCCTATGGCATTGATTCATGGTGAGCATCCCAGATACAATACACGACGTAGAGACTTGAAGATAGCAATGACCACACTGGCATAACTCACTCAAGCAATTCACTGTTGCTATCAGATGCTTTTCAAGTTTCTTGGAGAGCTTTAAGCACAAAGTTGTCAGGAGTTCTCCACCTCCATGTTGCTCTCAAAGGAAGGAGATGATGTTTCCACAGCACCTGGGCCATTTCCTCCATGGCAGTAAGTTCCCTGGCTCTTTCTAGTTTACTGCTTGACCAGAAGTGTTCCCAGCAAAACTCTCCAGTCATGTCTACACCATCACTGAAACACCCATCATTTAATTGCTCAAACATACATAGAGCAAAGAGATTAAGCTTTTCATCACATTAGATGCCCACGCTGATCCTCAAGTACTTTGGACAGGACAGGTGAAGTTGGGCTGAGTACAAAGCAAATGTGTCTTCAGGTCCCAACTACAGCTGGGAACAAGGACAGAAAGTATTTGCAATATGGGACTGGACGTGCTTACATAATCTTATGCTTAACTTCACTTTGCTGCGTATAAACAACCTCAGAATCCTTGAGAGGATACTCATAATCCCAAGGAGCCAGATAAGCAGGTATTCATAGCAAGGTATGCACTGTGCTGCAGGGCAAACAGAGTGGACGAGCATTAGCTGCAAATGTGAGCTGCAGTTACCACCAGAGCTTTTTTCCTTTTTTCTGACTCTGCTCTCAGCAATACCCATGGATACGTGTGTCCTGACCTGGGATGTGCAACGCAGTCCCACAGAGGCACAGCTCTGTTGTTGGGATTGGCAGCAAATGCAGAAAACACTGCATTTTGTGCTTCAGGATGAAAGGAGCTACACATATTCCTGGAGTAATAACAATGCTAAAACTTCTGTTCTGGCCCAAGTATTCATGCTCATAACAGAGCACTAAGCACTGCTTAACTGAAGGCATGACTCCCATCCAAGTCAAGGCAAGACTTACCTAAGGGAGGAGCAGTGAATCATAGCATGGCCTGGGTTGCAAAGGAGCACAGTGCTCATCCAGTTCCAACCCCCTGCTATGTGCAGGGTTGCTAAGCAGCAGACCAGGCTGCCCAGAGCCACATCCAGCCTGGCCTTGAATGCCTGCAGGGATGGGGCATCCACAACCTCCTTGGGCAACCTGTTCCAGTGCCTCACCACCCTCTGGCTGAAGGTGTTTTAAATAACATAACCAACTGCACCTGAGACAGCATGCTGAATTTTTGCATGTGCCCAGAGGGAGCATTTTAGTATGTTAACCACAATCTGAAAACAGTAATTAACAATCCTCTGCCACAAAAGCAGAGGCGTGCAGGCTGTGTTGATACTTACTGTTTAGCCTGGTTGACGTGGACTCCTAAAGTATAGCTCAGCCATTTGTATGTCACCTGTAAAAGATTTAAAAAAACAACACAATAAGTTTAAGAAAACCTCAGACTGTGAAACCACACATCCTCTCGTGGAGAAGTCAAACACTTTATGGTCCCCTCCCCCCAAAAAAGAAACAACACAGGAAAACCTGGTAGAAGTAAGAGCGCATTTACACCCACACACCTTCGACACTGTGCCACACTGAAGGGATTCAATTCCCAAGATAAGAACAAATTTCTGACCCCAAAAGCTGTGTTTGCATGAATGCCTTTTGGAAATGCTACTGCATAACTGAAGCCATTCTAAATCCTCTCAATTGGGCTTGAAGATCTGAATAGTCTTTTCCAACCTGAGTGATTCTATGAAAATGCCCACAGCGCTCAACTTCACAACTGGAACAGCACAATCCTTGGCTGTGAGAAGCAGCCATTGCTCTCCCATTTACTGAGAATTGATCAGATGACACTATCAGAAGGAACAGGTGGATCTCTGGCTGCATCAGCAGTTCAACAGTACTGTGCCAGGTCTCAGGAGATGACAGGCATGTAACTGCACCATTAAGATGAGTCAAATCTCCATACCTTTTTCTCCTCCCACTCTGCCTTTTTTTACACCTCAGGCTAGGGCCTCTCCTGCCTCAAACACAACAGTTAAACTGTCATTAATCTAGCAGCTTATGGAAATAAATGATAATGACACAGGCAGCTCATTTTAATACAACTCCTCTCACGGCCCAAGAGCTGCACTGATTTCACCCGCTCAGTTTCAAAACAAAGATTTTGCACAGAAAGAAAAAACAGGCACATGGTTACTGTGTATCCCAATCTTCACAAAAGTACCAGGGCTTCAAGATGCTACTGATAGTAACTTTATTTTTCTCTGACCAAGCAGTAGCCCAAATAGTGGTGAGGACTACAGGCTGAGAGGGCTGGGACAGCCTGGGGAAGAGAAGACTCTGGAGAGAGCTGAGAGCAGCCTTCCAGTGTCTACAGGGGGTGTAAGAAAGAAGGGGACAGACTCATTAGCAGGATCTGTTGTGACAGGATAAGGGGAAATGGTTTCAAACTAAAAGAAGAGAAACAGGATGTAAGGCGAAAGTTGTTTTACAATAAGGATGGTGAAGCACTGGCACGGGTTGCCCAGAGAGGTGGGGATGCCCGATTCGAGGTCAGACTGGACAGGGCTCTGAGCACCTGATGGAGCTGTTGGTGTCCCCACACCAGGGTGTGGGACTGGATGGTTTTTAATGGTCCTTTCCAACTCAAACAATTCTGTGATTGCCTCAATATATCATGGAAAAACACTGTTTCATTCACATCTGAATTTCATGCCTTGAGGTAAAATATTGCTGTCACTACAGTGTGGGCTCAGCTATTAGGGAGCAAAAGGAATTTAGGGAGAGCTGCTTTCCCCCCACCTCAGGAAAGACATGGAGCTTTTGGAATGGACCCAGATGAGGGCCATGAGGATACAGTACCTGTCCTATGAAGACAGGCTGAGGGAGATGGGGATGTTCAGCCTGGACAAGACTGAGGGGAGACCTCATTACAACCTTCTGGTACTTGAGAGGAGCGTATATGCACAAGGGGGACTGACTTCTGGCACGGGCTGACAGCAATAGGACAAAGGGGGATGGTTTTAAACTAGATGCCAAGGGGAATTTTTCCCTAAGAGAGTGCTGAGGCCCTGGCACTGCTGCCCAAAGGGCTGTGGGTGGCCATTCCTGGCAGTGCCCAAGGCCATGACAGGGCTGTGGGTACCTGAGCTATGGGAGGTGTCACTGCCCATGCAGGGAGGTGGGGCTGTGAGCGCCTTTAAGGTCCCTTCCAACCCAAACCATTCTGCAGTATAAACACCAACATCCATTCTCTTTAGAGGCACTAAATCAACACAAAACACGACAGAGGAAAATCCTGACAAAAAGAAAGGCATTTCTGGTCCAGTTTGAGTGATAAGCTCTCATCACCTCCATGCTGGGAAACATGGGATCAGTCACACCCTCACACCCCACAGCCACATCCAGAGGCAACGTTCAGTCTGTGGGGTGAGCAGCTCTGATTCAGCAGCACCAGGACAGCATTCAGCAATTATTCACAGAATCACTAAGGTTGGAAAAGACCTATAAGATCATCCAGTCCAACCATCCACCTATTACCAATGGTTCTCGCTAAGCCATATCCCTCAACACAACATCCAAACGTTACTTGAACACCTCCAGGGAAGGGGATTCCACCACCTCCCTGGGCAGCCCATTCCAGTGCCTGACAACCCTTTCAGAGAAGTAGTATTTCCTAATATCCAGCCTAAATCTTCCCTGGCGCAGCTTGAAACCATTCCCTCTAGTGCTATCACCGGTTATACGGGAGAAGAGGAGGGAGGAGAGGAAGGGGGTGGGGGAGAAACGAGGGAAGGGAGGCCCTCACAGTTCCTGTCCCTGCCCAAAGGCCGCCCATGCGTGTCCCGGAGTGCAGGTGAGCACAGAACCCCCACCTCACCTCCCAACCGCCAACGGGACGCAGCTGCTCTCTGGGCTGATGCTTTCTGAAACAAGCTGGGTTGAAGCTGCTCGTAGCGATAAAAGAGGGGAGCCCTTCAAAGGCTGCCGGCCCAGACCTGGCCCTGCAACCCCCACAGCCCGCAGGGTTTGGGGCCCAAACCCACCCCCTGAGGGACACACGGACACCGCTCCCTCAGTGCAGCGCAGTGCTGCTGAAGGGAGGAAAGGAAGGGCGGGGAGGCCCCACTGTGGCTTTCTCCTCCCCGACAGCCCCGGCTCGGCCTCCCCGCTCCGCCGGCACTCACAATGCGGTTCTGATCGGTGACGAACTCATCGATGTTCTCGAGGTACAGCTCGTCCTCCATGGCGGCCGGATGGGGTCGGGCCAGGGGCGGGGAGGGCCCCACAGAGTTCCCGCGCACCTCAGTGCCAAGGCCACCCCGCCGCCGCCATAGCAACGAAGGAGGCGCGACGGGAGCCGTGCGGGGACAAAAAGATGGCGGCGGCACTTCGCGGAAACTGAGCTGGCCCCGCCTTCCGGTCTGTGGACTCCGCCTTCCGGTCTGCTGGCCCCGCCCCTCCCCTTAGGTCCTAGCAGGGTCATATCAGCCCAGCTCCGTAAGCGGGGACGGTGTGATGAAATTCCGGTACAAGTGAGCTGTAACTAAAACGTGTTCGTTTATTGGTACGCAGAGCTGAAAGGGAGGAGGAGGGAGGTTGTCTCAGAGGGTTTGAAAGCGGAGATGACAACACTTGCTGTAGCACAGAGGAGTGATCTCCCTTTGGGTGCCCAAGGTCCTGGTGTTTTTGGGGAATGCATTTGTCCTCTCTGTCTTTCTGTCTCACTCTTTTTAGTTTTTAATAAAAAAGGCAGACTAGGAACACTTGGAAGAGGCATCATCAACCCACTGAATGCTACACTGGTCTTGGGAAGAGCAAGAAGGACTGGCTGGCATGGGAGCTGGGGGATCCTTCCCGTATCTCTTCACCCACTGAAGCAGAGCTGGGTGCCCTACTGGAGCAGCAATCACTTCAGGACAGCCCACAGACCTGAACAAGGGGCTAAAGACTACAACGTACCTCATCTCCTTGCCCCGATGGTAATGATCTTTCACAGGTGAAGCACACAAAATTAACATGAAAGAAGAACAAATGGGAAAAACAGTCTCACTGTAATGCAGCAAACTGACAGATGTTGAAGGTCTCTGGGATTCTTCTTGCCTAACTGGAGATTTTTGAAGCATTTCCAGGGGCAATTCTGTGATCCTTTCTAGGTCACCTCTTTTGGTATTTACCCATGGGGTCTGTTTTTCCTCAGTGCTCAGATAATGAATCAAGTGCAACTGTCTCAGATTTCAGACATCTCCATTTGCAGTTGCTTAAGGCAGGGCGTATCGATGCTAATTGGATGTGAAAGTACTTTGGGAGTATTCCATTAAAAGATCTGATCATGCTCTTTCACACTGGATTTGCAGTGCCCTCTGACAAACATAAGTTAAACCCAAGTTCCTCTTCCAAGAAGTCAATGCGTTTGAGCCCCATTTCAAAATGATGATGAGACACAGAGAGGTTATGGTTTTGTCCAAGAATCTTTCAGTGCTCCCAGGTGCAAAGCCCAAGTATCCTGACTTTCAGACTTCTTTTTTTTTTTCTCAAAGCACTATAAAATTCTTTCAGACACTGCTTGTTCATAACAAAATGTCTCATACTTATGGCTGCCCACAGCCAAAACGTCCAGCACCAGCAGGAACCCAGCCCAAGGATTCATCATAATGGTCGGTTCGCAAAAGCTTTCCAAAAAAATGAAAAAGAATGGGCAGAGTCTCTGGAAATGTATTAAATATAGTGGCTGGCAAGCACCTGACTGAGGAGTTTGAGTGAAAGGAGTCCTGTTGGTGTTCTAATTAATATCATATGAGGGGGAACTGGAGTGAACAGCAATGCCAAATGGTGAGCAAAGACACAGAGACTGAATCATAGGACCACAGAATGGTTTGAGTTGGGAGGGACCTTTAAAAGCCATTCCACTCTCAATGAACAGGGACACCCACAGCTCCATCAGTGCTCAGAGCCATCCAGCCTTGGGTATCTCCAGATCTGAGTGTCAAAGCACTGTTAAGTGAATCTGTCCAAAACTCATCCAGGTGCAGGCACCCTTTTCCTTTTGGAGCTTATCAAGGCAGTGTGATCAGAGGCTCCTGAAGGTCCAGTGCTCAGGAGGAGCATCCCATCTGACGAAAAGTACAGGATTTCAGTTACAAAATAAGTTCTTCATCAACCAGATCCCCAAGTCCTTCTCCTGGTCTGTACACATATCTGGGATCGTCCTGACCCAACGCCTCGCACTCGGCCTTGTTGAACCTCATTAGATGCTTGTGTGCCCATTTTTCGAGTGTGTCCAGGTCCCTCTAGATGGCATCCTATCCCTCTATTCTGTCAACTGCACCACTCAGCTTGGCGTCATCAGCAAATTTCCATCATCTATGTCATCGATAAAGATGCTGAAGAACATCGGTCTCAAGATGGATCCCTGGGGGACAGCATTCACTGACCTCCACCTGGACATAGAGCCACTGACCACAAACCTCTGGTTGCAGCCATCCAACCAATTCCTTATCCACTGAATTGTCCAGCACTTGAATATATATCTCACCAATTTAGAGATAAGGATGCAGAAAAGGTGGAAATCAACTTTTTTTCATGAGCAGGTAGTAACAGGGCAAGCGAGAACAGTTTCAAAATAAAAGATGCAAGATTTGGATGTCAGGGGGAAAATTTTCACTGAGAGGGTGGTGAAGTGCTGGCACAGGGTGCTCAGAGAGGTGCAGGTGCTCCATCCCTGGAGGTACTCAAGGCCAGGTTGGATGGGGCCCTGACAACCTGATCTGGTGCCTGGTTTAGTGGTTGGCATCCCAGCCTGCAGCAGGGGGTTGGAACTGGAGGAGTTTTGGGGTTCCTTCCAACCCAAGCTGTTCTATGATTCTATGAACACCTGTCAGACAGACACATAAGGAGATATAAAGTATGACGCTCCTCTTTTCTTACCCCAAGATGAATTAAAAATAACAAGATGGAATTAAAAGGGCCTTGTTGCTAGGAATCCTGTGCAATGGATGAGTCAGACCTTCAGCCTCCTTCTTCACTGTACAAAATACATAAGCATAGCTAAAAAAATCTTGACACACTCCAAAAAGCGAGGCAGCAATACCAGCAAGAGATAGGGATCTAAGAAATCACTAAAATAAGTTTTGGGTGGATGAAGAATAAAGGAACAGAAACATATCTCCCCTCTGACAATCAGCGCAGCGTGACTGCTGTCTTTCTTTGTCAGTCAGATGACTGTTATCTCCACCAGAGACTAAGTTTTACACACTCATTGTTTGGGGGACACCTACATTAAAGGTGCTGGTTCCCACTCACGTTTGATGGTGCATCATGCTATGATGTCTTCATGGAGAGACATATTGTACCACTCATACAAACACATTTCTTTGCCTTTTGTAACTTGTACTGTCTTTTGTTCCAGGATTTTTTGTACTTTTGTAGGAAGAGTCCCTTCTAAAGAAATAAAAGCATAAGGTTTAAGCACTGTACTAAAAAAAAAGCATCTGGGAATATATCAGCAAAAAGAATATAATGTCTCCCACCAAGTAGAATCATAGAATCACAGAATATCCTGAACTGGAAGGGACCCATAAGGATCATCGAATCCAACTCCTGGCTCCACAGAGCATCACCCAAAAAAGCACAAGTTATCACATCTTAAGAAAGATGATTGACATGAATGGCTTCAAAACCATAATGAAAATTTCCCAATTCGAGTCACACTGGTAGCTGCCATTTCTGATTTCATCTAATTCTGAGCCTGTTCTCAGGTCTGCGTGAGGAGATGGATCTCTATTGGATTCTTGTTCTTGATGTCTCTTATTTCAAGGCAATTAGTGTGCCTCAGCATGGAGTATCTGACATTTACTCAATAGGAGGATGGGCACAGGAGGAGCTGCAGCAGAGCAGTGTGTTTTCTTGCAGCTCTGCAGATCATTTTCCCCAGCAGGTGTGCAATTAAAGAAGACAAACAAGAGCAACAGCTAGGAAAAAATGCAAATCTTCTGAGAAAAACCAGAAGAGAATAGAAAAGCATTTTCTCAAATCCAGCATGGTGCATTCCTCCTGCATCCTAGGGAAGAGATATGGGGAGCAAAGTCAACTCAGTGTTCTGTGTCCAGGGCCAGAAAGCTCCTTGTCTCCTCCTGTGTTATACACAATGTGGGTTTCCAGCTATTGGCTTGGCTGGGCCACGTTGAGGAGGATATTCTTCTCTGTTAGGGTAGGTCTTTTAAAAGTCTGGTAGAGATGTGATTCATGGTTTCCTTGTGTAGATTGTCCAACTGCAACTCTATGCATTCCTTTTGGAGATTAACAGGTAATGTATTGATGTCGACTCAAAACGGAGTCACAAATATATCAAAAATTGATGACTTTTTCAGTGATATTGAAACCTATTCTCAAATTCCTTTATCAAAATGTAAAGCAAGGCTGTTTATTTTTCACTGTTCACAGGACTGGATGCCCCATCCCTGCAGGCATTCAAGGCCAGGCTGGATGTGGCTCTGGGCAGCCTGGTCTGCTGCTTGGCAACCTGCACATAGCAGGGGGTTGGAACTGGATGAGCATTGTGCTCCTTTGCAACCCAAGCCATTCTATGATTCTATGATGACTGTGTTTATCCAATGTCTCAACGTGCATAAAATTATTTGCCATACTTTGAGCTTGCCATAATTTAAGTTTCATTTTGAACATTGCTATGGTTTGAAACACAGCCCCAGTAAGTTGATTTTCAACTTGGGATGTGTGTTTAACTCATTCAAACAAGCAGTCCAATCCACCAAAAGTCCTACCTCTGTGAACGGTTTTCATCTTCAAGTTTTGGGACCAATTTTCCTTTTGATCCCATCCACAACTTGACATCATTTTGTAAATGATAACTTCTTTTTAGCACTTCATCACGAATGACCCACCAAACTTCAGAAAAGCAAATGATGTCCCCATCATCAACATCCACTTTTAAGGAACTCCTGAAACTGGCGAAGATTTGGTCCCTTGACATTATGAAATTCACAGCTTTGATGATGATTTGCACAACATTATCCATTTTCCAAGCTTTTGTGCATACAAATGTTCTTGATGTATGATGCAGTGCTACTTCATCAAACATGAGCTGCTGGCAGAATTTGCATCATCTTCTATCAACTTACCTTATGTTAATTTTATAAGTTTCTCTTTTTACCAAAAATTGCTGCAGTGCCATCAGATATGGGATATATCAGATACGTTGACAAAGGTTAAAGAAAACTGCTTTACTGTAATTTTTATTGCTTCATACAAATCAAGAGACTGAGTTGTGTCCTTCAGTGACACCAAAGAAGCCATTCCTTCAGTGACATTCATCTGTTATCAATACTACTGATAAAGACAGCAAGTTGAATCATGGAGTGCTTTGAGTTGGAAGGGACCCT